CTTGGTATTTCTGCATTAATGTTGAGGATTCTGTGTTGAATTCAGAAAAACAGTGATTGCGTTACTGCGTCTAGAGTTAGTCTCAGGAATACATCTTGTATTACTACAGAAGTAAGCTGATAACTCTTGAGTCCAGCTTCTCCTTAAGAAGAACCATATCAGTTAAAAGGATTACATTAGTTTAAAATCATTCATCAGACTTGATTTAATAGCTTGTGTTTTGGAAAGAGAAAGGATTTTTCTACTAATCATATTGAGAAAGTTTTACATAAGAAACATCAAGAACAAAACTGTGTCACAGCTTGTAAGAGAATAAAGTTTTTCTACAGTAACCGTGGAGAAAATAAATGGACAGAGGTTAGCACTCCAGTAACTGTGCCTAGGAAGTAGATGCAGGATCTTGCTAAATCACTGCAATGAACATTTAAGTGAGGTATAGTTACCTAAACATGCTCTAATATTGAGAGGTACCAACAGCTTTCTAGTTGAATCACTCTCCTTCCCAAAGACTGGGAATTTTTAATTCAAGACATTATTGAGCCACATCTGATCCCAAATTAGTCCAGGAAATGAGTAGTTGGAGTATAGGTCCAAAAGATGTCCAGGAATGAAAGTAAGAAGAAGAACTGGGGGTTGTTATTTCAGAGAGCTTAACACAGATATTAAAGTCTTCAAAGACAATAATCATTGTATGCTCTTTGCTGGAAAGAAATTATGTGTCAGTAATTCCAGACCTCTGACATTACAGACAACCCTAGCATAAATCTCATATCCTAAACTTAAAGTCTATCACTAGTCTTATCATGACATCAAAAAGTATCTAGTAACTTCTCCATCAGGAAAATTTGGTTTTCTGGAAATATAAAATGAATATATGAACTGCCGTACTGATTCCATTGAATCCAAGATCAGTCTGACCCAACACCCCGTGTCTTTGAGTGTTGCCACAGCAAGAGTAAAAGGGATAAAAAACATGAGCCAAATCTTACTCCTACGTACCTTCTCTTTCTATAAGCCTATAGTGGAGGGACTTGATGGGCCTGAAGTTGAACTTAAATCATCATAATAGTACCTGACAGACCTTTCTTAGACATGTCTAATCGTTTTCTTGACTCTTTTGCACTTTTACATCGAAATAGCCTGTGGCAATGAATTCCTGAGTTTATGTTCTACTTTTCCAGGCCTACAGTTAAATTCATGTCTATGTGCGTCCCCCCCTTTTTTTTCTTTTAATTGTAAGACGTACTAAATAACCATTCCTTGTTCATGCTTTCAGTCATTGATGATGGCATCTTTCGCAAATCTATTTTCCAAAATTTCCTAGTAGCTTGTACAGCTTTGTCCCTTTTCCCTGCTTTTTCTGAGATTGAGATCACTCTGAGCAGCCATACAGCAGCCATAAAGATTCTTTGCTGTAGCCTTCATTATTCATGATTCCTAAGTTATCATTTGCCTTTCTGATTGCTCTAAAGCATCAATTAGATGCATTCACAGTGACACTAACATCTCTTTTTCTGAGCAGTAACTGCAACTTTAGAGCCCATGATGTGTATTACTTTGCCTTTATTAACACTGTTCCTTAACTCCCACTTTATTACTCAGTCCAGTGATACTCTTCTGCAACCCTTGGACTGCTCTTAACACATGCATATAATGAGCAAATTTTGTCCCTTGCTGTTTAACCCATTCTTTCAGATCTCTGATCAGTGTTAAACAGCAGAAAATTTTCTGCACGTTCACATTCACAGAAAGGGTAGTACTTTCTACCCTTTCTTTTAACCACTTAGTGAGCTACTAAATGACCTTTTCTCCGTTTCTGAAAAAGACCTGCTTTCTTAAAAGCCTTTAGTAAAGAACCTTCTCAAAAGCTTTTTGGAAATCCAAGTTTTCTACATCACCTCTTACCCAGTCAACTCAATCCAGAATATCCTTTTCTTCAAAGAAACTTAATAGCCTTATGAATCATGATTGAGTCATGATAAAAGGTATGTTGAACTTACTAGATTTGCAAAGTACTGGAAAGCACTCTTAACAACTTTGGTATTTCCCATGAGATAGGCTACGTTAGCTGCATAAATAGTTCACATCATTCATTATCTAAATATTTTATGTAATTTAGTGCCACTAGGAAGAAAATATAATTTCCATTTTAGATGAAAAAAATCAGATAAACAAACAAAAAAGGGAAAATTAAATGGCACTTCAAATCAGGCATTTCCAGACAAGGATTTATCAAGATGTCTAAATGATTGCATCTTTCAGTTATTCACAGAAGAGATATTCAGAGCCAATAGCCTCATTTTTTGTTCCCCCTTGGTTCACGAAGACTGCTAAAGAGACAACTTTCATGTGCTTCATTTTGTGACATGCCTGGATGGTTTTGAGCAGTCTTTTGATGACCTAGGTGTTTATGAAATAGACATATTTAGCACTTATAAACTGTTCCCTATTGTTCTAAGTCACCAATGACTGAAATTGAACATTGGCATGAAAGATGGGCAATAATGGAACTTCAAATCCAGTTCCTTTAGGCTATAAGTATAGAATCAATTTGCATAAAATTGTGTGAAAGAAGCAATGTTAACAGGTATTAGACTAACCATTACAGGTGGAATACGAAACAGAAAAGCTTTAGCACATTGAAGCCCTCCTTTCAGTCTGGAAACAATGCAGCAAAATTCATGGCCAGTATAGGTTAAGAACTGCTCCAGATGCAATACTTGTGTTATCAATAAGAAAACGTAATAATAAAAAAGCAGAGCAAAGATGTATCTTGGCCATGGAAGACATAATACGGTCATTGAGCCATGCGGAAGAAAGATAAAACTACATAGCTGACAATGGAACACGAAGAAATTAGCACAAATTTATATGCTATGAAATCAATTTCTTTATTGAGTCTATAACATTAGCACCAAAGACAATTATGTACCGAAGTTTCCAGACTCAGTTCTGGGAAATACCAAGATGCATTTTTCATTCATCAGGACTGAGATGCTAAAGGCTTTTTTTTTTTGCATGTGTGTGAAATATGTTTACAAAACATCTGTTCCTGTCCTGTAATTACTGGTCACATAGCTCATTCTACTATAAAGAGCTAGTTTTGATTTCACCCAGGTAAAAAAGGCACCTAGTAGACCAACTATTTGACTATAGTAACGCTCTAATACATGCCTCTATACAGTCCACGGACACTGAAGGCTGTGTTGTGAAATGCCGTTACTGCAACGTCATTTTCAAGATACACTGAATGAGCCTGCACTTGTTTTGGCAAAGTCTCCAAGGTTTCCAAGTTGATTTGCTGGGAGTTCACTTCTGACTAGATATTCATACACCACGTTTGCTATGAAGTATCGCCACTTTGCCAACAGAAAGGCAACTCTTGCTCTGGAAAAACAGATTTCTTTTTTGAAAAGAGTCACCAAAACCTGTAAGTTTACATTGCAGTACAAGAAAACCCTATCGATTATGGGCCTGCTCATCACGTATCTCCCCAAACTGGAAGCTTTATAGACCCTTCAGCAACCCCAATCTATACCTACAGAGGGGCAGTCAGTCCCTATTTAAACAGGTTTTTTTACTTTTTCCACCCTCCCTCCAGGTCGGTCTTACCAGACATACCGTTAAAGGCAAATTCTTGCAGGGCGAGCCACTAAGGAGTAGCCGAGATACTTCAGTGAGGCTTCAGCAGAGATGCAGCTCCGGCGGGGAAGCGGGGCTGCAGAGCCCCGAGGGAACGAGAGACCAGCGTGTAGGCCAGACGCTGGGGGAGGCTGCCCAGGCTAACCTGCGCTCCCCAGGGGCAGAACAGACGGAAGCGGCCCAGCGCCACGCTGTCCTCA